TTCAAAACAACGACACAGTTAATAAAGATGTAAAAATTATTTTTTACGTTGAAACCACACCATTGTTTTTCTTGTGACATTACCAATAAGTTTGATGTGTCACATGGCCCTCTTCCTATTGAAAAAACAAAAGTTGTATCCAAGATGGCCGACTTCTAAATGGCCACCATGGTCACCGCCTATCTTGAGGAGTTTGCCATCTCACATATACTAATGTGCCACAAACAGGACTTTAATATCACCAACCATTCCTATGTTATTACGGTGTATCCATATAAATGGCCCACCCTGTATTTTTATAGCACATCTCTAAGGGTAAGTATGGACATCTTGATTGTTTTTACTTCTGTTTTTGTGAATAATCATTTTTATTAATTCTTTTTTTCCCCAGATTATATAAGCTAACTGCCAATAGTTCAAAATGATAGTGCTGGGTGTTTTTCTGAACTGGATGTGACTCAGGCTCTTTTATTAGACATCCACGCCTTTAGTAACAAACATGATCATTATAAACAGCGCCGCTTCCATCACTGGCCCCATGCAGGCTTAGCTTTGTCATATGTGATTCACTGCAGTAACTGAATCATCATTCTCTTTTGAGATCATTGCAACATCCACTGACTAATCTTTTGATTTTAAACCATTTCAAGGACAATAAATATTTAAAACCCATAAATCTATATAAGCTTTACTTTTGAATCCATTGTGTTCTACCAAAAATGCTTAAAGCCCCTGACATGTCCGGTTTCTCTTCATTCTGTAAAAAAGTGTCAACAAGAGTAATAAGAGTAGAAAAAAAGTCTTAATTTCTTATATAGAGAGGGAGCATGTGTGCCCCATACACATTCGGTGAATGCAAGATTTTTTTTTACATGCAGGCTAAAATTCAAGAACCACAAACGTAGCTGAACTAGGATGGAGAATGACAAAACCCAATTAAAAATACAGCGTCCAGCCTGAGGATGAGGGCCCAATCAGTGAGAGGTTGTTGTTTGTGTAGATCAATCAAGCTCTCTCAAGGGAGACAAAGCAACTCCGGAGGGTTTTTGGTAACAATGAGAGGGAGAGTGTTACTGATGATTGTTTAGCTTCCATCAAAAGGAATTTGAAAAGGTAGAGTTAGCTCTAAAGCACCTGTACAGCCACCCCAAGGAACAGAAACAGGCCAGCAATTTAACTAACAGCAAAGTCCTAGAAGCATATTGTTTTGTCTCATTGTTAATGTCTCTACTAGCAGTCAAAGTATTAGTTTAAGGTAACCCTTTCAGTTACAAATGGAGGCTGCAGGCCATCAGAACCAGCACGGTGGAGATGTTTGATGACTGGATGTCAGGTTGATGCCGCGAGCTCTTTGTAGAGTTTGTCGAAACTGTCCTGTGGAGTCTTTGCAGTGTAATGAGGTGGATTCTCTTGGTGGGAGATGTCATTGCCCTCGAGTCAACATGATAGGTGTTTTTCATTTTACCCGTTAGTGGTTTTAATGTTGTGGGAGATTCATGTAGTCATCATCTCTGTTAGTGACCTCTGGCTGTCCTGGACTATTGTGTCCAAAGACATTCAAATACTCACAATGAGGAGCCTCTGCCAGCTGTTTTCCATGACGAGCAAAGAGCCAATAACAGCTACGTGATTTATTAGCAGGTGTTTTGAAAGAATTTTTACTTTTAATATATGAAATGCAGAGAAGATACACTAGTACGGGCTCTTTTTAGGCTTTAAATAAATAAAACTAAATATTATGTTACAACGTGTGTATGAAGCAACACTCCTATCATGAATCTGGTTGAAGGTCTCTAATGTCTTTAATAATATGTATTTTAAGACCTTTAAGCATGACAGTAACAAAAAATAAATAATAAAGCCAAAAACAGGATAAAAGGGGAAAGTGAATCATTGCTGTTATGTGTGCATCACTGTATACCATCAGGACCATCTGGGCCACTGTTAGCAGAGTGCAAGGAATCTTTAAATAGAAATCAGCTCCAGAGTTAGGAATGCAGTAAAACCTTGTCAAATTGTTTTAACCTGTCTGGAATCTGTCACTTTACCATACACAGCTGTTACTACACCCACACTGTTTTCATGACTCTTTGAAGTATGTTTACTTTCTACACTGAGCCGATCATTTTCAGGAAAGGCCTCATGAGAGATAATGAGAACCAAAGGAGAGTTTTTTGCTGCGCTTGAACACATGCTCTTCAGCTTTCTGCAGAGTCCAAGTGAGCGAGTAATGTGTGATGTGTGAAGGAAGACCAGACAGAAGAAGACGCATAAACACACGAGGGGTTACATTAAGACGTAGAAAGCATTGGCTATGTCATATGCATTACATCCTTCAGTCAAGGTCACCAGTGTAGCCATAGAAACACATAGATGCACATATACATAATACACAGGAGTTGCATGGGTGCATTTTCCCTGCACAAAAGGAGGTCTCTAGGAGGATGCTGAACATTTGGCACGAGCTTAGAGCTAAGTGTTTGTGTGTGTGTTCAGAAATTCATCCCTGTGTGCATACCAATGTGTATTACGTCGGCTATCGCTTCCTCTCTATTATTAAATCCCCCTTTTTTACAAGTAGTCTCATTTAAGAGTTGTACACAAAAACAACTGGAGCATACACAGACAGAAAGACAGATCACCTCTTTTCAGAGTTAAAAATACATGCTGTATGAGAAATATATCTACAAGGACTATGGGACAGTGTTACAGAATCATGAAGAGGGCATTTGTATATTCCACCTTAAATATTGTCCATCTGATGATCTGGAATTTTGAGAAGGTTTGTGGTTTCTCTGGTTGTTTAAACTCGACACACAAGGTGTTCCAATAAAAATGGAATATCTTTACACCGCACTCTGAAATCTTCAACTCGTAACAACATTTTTCTGCTTGAAACCAATTCCATCTAGCCTCTCCGTTGTTGTCCCAAGAATTCCTTTGACATGCTTCATCTATAGTCTCAGAATTACCACCCCACTGTGACCTTTGACCTTTAAAGCATCATTCTGGCTGCGTGGCGCATCATGTTACTGTTATGCTGCCTACATATACAGTAGATGGTGAATATGGCTTTCAGAAAGCACAGATTTTCTTTTTTTCTTTATCTGTCCTTTATCTTTACAAAAAAAAAAAACATTATCAAGAAATGCCTTTATTCAGGAGCTTTTTCCCCCATATCCAGCAAACAACAACCCCCCACTGAAAGGATTTCTGCTCATACTAGAACTGCCTCAGGAAACATTTTTGTAGTTAGTTATGGCTCTGAAAAAATGATGTAACTGTCTACATGAGAGGCACAGTGGTTTAACAGTAGCTACCAAGAACCTTATGACCGCAGTCATCTTTATGCATTTTCTGACTCAAAAAGCATAAATGTGACTCACAGTAATTTGACTACATTAATGAACACTGTCAGAGTTCATTTCATCACTGTAGAACCACACGACTCCTAAATCAGCTTTTATTTTCATACTCTCTCAGAGTTACTACTGCATTCTTTTAACTTTACACTCAGCAGCTTCTATGAAGATTAAAGTGTGAAATGCCTACAGGGGGCGTTTTTTTAAATGCATGCAGATGTGTCATTTGGGTGTTTTATTAAGTGTTTGTAATGTCATGTAACAGTAATCGGCTTTGTATCAAACTGAAATTTTAATATTAACAGCAGTGTAAGTATAAATATTAATCCCCAACTCCCCAACCTACTCGTTTTTCTTTTTTCTTTTTCTTTTTTGGATAGTGATATGGCCAAAAACAGAAAGACCAAAGTTTCAAATAATGAGATAATGATATGTATGTCCAAGTAATCTCCTTGAGCTACAGACTAAAGCTTTAGACTACTCTAAATGCTCATTCAGAGTTATTATTTTTACAGTCATGGATTTGTATGTCAATGAGAGTGAACACCCCTAATATGGTCATGTTAGGTACACAGCCCTGAGTGTGAGCACTGAGACTGAGCTTAACGGAAGGAGGCAAAACTGAAAACAGAAAAATAAAACTATGAAGCTGGAAATGAGAACAATTAAACCAGTTTATTTCAAAATAAAACACATATTATTTATTTATTTAAGTATGCAACACACAATGATGTGCATTATACCAAATATAAATTCATCGTTCCCAGTTGTTTCCAGTTTGCTGCATGTCTTTAAACTGTTATTTTTTATGTTCAACAGAAACAGTACAGTCAATGAAACAGTTGTTTAGTGAGGATATAAGCATAGTCAGGTAGCTTTAACCTCAGTCAAGAGGTTCTGTTTAGTCACTTGAATCATCACAGGTGTTTTCTACCAGTCATCTACATGTGCCCGTGCCAGCACACCTTCCAGACAGAGAGGACACACCACGAACTGTAACCTCTAACAGTTTCCAAACAGCTGTTATGAGAGGGGAAACCTATCCATAAAGATATTTTTGTACCGTAAACTGTAAACCATGGCATGGTATCTAAATAACTGCTTCTTCTTAAGGATCAAAATAAAACAGTGTCAACTTTTATTTTTAATTACTTATTTATGTATTTATTTATTACTCTGAGTAACTGGTATGGAAAATGAAGTGTGTTGGACCTGAAGATGTTTTGCCTCCTGGGTACACCAGTGAACTCATGTCACAAGAGGGTAGCAGGTGGAATTTCAGAAATAGCCACAATGTCAAAAATAACCACTCATACATGTCACTGAATGGTTAGTGGTTTAAACATAAATCAGGTGGTCAGTACGCATTCCTACACACATACACACACTCTGGTAGTATCTAACTCTATCTGACAGTAAGCCCCATGCTGTAGTGTGTGTGTGTGTGTCTACATGCATGTATATGTGCCTGCGTGCGGCCATGTGACACACCGTCCAGGATTGTCCAGCCTCCCCTTTTTGTGACTCGCTCGCACGGATCGTATTACTGGCTGCTCTCCCTGCACCGCTGAGCCCACCGCCTGTGCACCAATCACAGCCTGTCGTTATTTTACCTACGAGCACATGCATGCACGAACGCACAGACACAGGCTCTGACACACCACATCCCTGTGCTTCTCCGCTGCGTTCACATGCGTCCCCGCGTTGCGCTGGCTGCGCCAAGATGAGCGTGGTCGCCCCGGTACCATCTCACCGCCTGAGTGGGAGGGAGTGAGAGAGCGCAAGAGAAAGAGAGAGAGAGAGAGAGAGAGAGAGAGAGAGAGAGAGAGAGATTGTGTGTCTTTCCTCTCTCAAACCCAATCTTACCTTCTCCTGGAAGAGACCGCAACGAAGCCGTTTGTTTCGGCATCGTTCTTTTTTTCCCACCCCTCCTCCTCCTCCCGTTCTTCCTGCATCCCTCCCGTTATTGTCGGTCTCCCGGTTTTCAGAGACCGGTCGTGATTTTGTGGAAATAATTTTTTTGTATATTTTTCCCTGCTGGGTGTTGGTAGCGCGCAATTGGTGCGCGCTTCTAAAAATTCCGGCGAATGGTGGATTTGGCAAACATGGAGACGGTGGAGAAGGAATGCGGGGCCCTCGGTGGTCTGTTCCAGGCGATTGTCAACGACATGAAGGTAAATGAAAGTTTATTTATAAGAATTTGTTGCCACGGTTAAACACATGTGCTCCCTCTCTGAAAATAGCGGTGTCCTGCAGCCTATTCCCAGCTGGTGCTCTCAGATGGGCTACACGGTTAAAATACCTGAACACACGCCTCTCCTTGAAAGCTAATGCTGATTTGTCTTCTATTTAACAATGAGGTGAATGAATGGATGATGGCAGCCTTTTACTGACAGTGATGCGGCGGCCCGGTGGGTTATTGGTGCGATCCGACCCCCACCGCCTTCCTCACGCCCGGAATATTGGCTGCGCATGCAAACGTCAATCCATTCTTTTATTTTATTTTATTTTCATTTATTTTATTTTTTTAATGCAATCCTCAAATCTCAGTCCAACCACAACAACCAGGCACGATCACCGCTGTTTTCTCTCAGTCTGATCAGGTTTATGCATATGGATAATTTTGCAATCAATTTGTGCTAAATGTGAAGACCAGCTGGGTCTTATATCAAAGCCCTGTGGAAGTGCCCATATTAGCCTGGGACTCCATTCATCTCAACGGCTCCGTGGAGTGGCATGTATAATTGGCAAATATAATCAGATGTGTACCCCTGTCGTGACTGACACATTCCCTCACATGCACACGCCTGAATCTTCACCAGGCTGTCCTCAACCTAAGACCTGCAGCGACTGTGTAAGAATAGGTGCGCGCTCGACTGTTGCATGTTAAGCCTCCGTCGTCCTTGCTTTTCTGGTTACTCTGCGTCTCCGTGAGAGTGCAGCGTCATTGATTTTCTGTCAGGCTGATCCAGCGAGAAAACACAAAAGCACGAGAAGCCGCGCAGATACCTACCCCCTCTGTCCGCGTGTCTGTCTGCCCATACCGCGGCCTGCCTGTCAGTCAGTGATTCTGCAGCAACCGTGGAGTGGTTCGGTACCCACCCAAGCTGAATGTGCACCGGTGCTGCTGTAAGATGCTTTGGATGAAATGGTTGGAGATGCAGTCTCGGGTGTATGCCTGCTTGTCAGACGCCCATGCAGCTCTGCATGCTTTTCTGTCTGCCTGTCACCTAATGACACGCACCCTTCTCTGTATGTTCCACTAAAAACCAGTTTACATGCGTGAATGTAAAATACGTAAAGGTTTTTCTGTTGCACATTTCATTGCTATCTGTATGGCTTCACATGCTAGAGGTCACAGCCAATGCAGCACATTCATTGTGTTGTAAGCATAAATTATTGACTTTCTGTTGTGGGTGAGACATGTCGAAGTGACAGAAGGGGATATGATCCCGGATATCAATATCAACCCACGATCAGAGAGTACTTCCAATGGATCAGTTCTATTTAATGTAATTCAAATAATACAGGTGCATGGAGAAATGACATGACTGGCAAAATCCAGTCAATAGTGACTAGAACATTATGGACAATAAAAAAGGAGCATTCCTGTGATTTACTATTAATAGTGTTTAATGATAAAGCAGCAGAAAGAGTAGAATTTTCTGTTTGTAGTGTGCACATCTAAAAGTGATTGATGCCAAGAAGATTGAGAAGGGACTAGAATACCTAGATATCACTTTTTAAAAGTGAAATTCATATTGCAGTTGCACTTGCAGCAAATGCAATCCTCTTTTTTTATTTTGCTTTTAACATCGAGACTGGTCAATATGACTCAGACTAAGAGCAGACTACAGCGAGAGTACCACCATAAATCATGTCTCGTATTTACACTCAGCAATAAGCATGTGCAGAGATCTGTTTACAGTGATTGTAGATCCAGTGACTGAAATTTACACATGGCAGTAATGAAAATATTTAGCTTTGTGTGACATATGATTAGAAGTTAGCAGTAGCAACAGTATGTATTTATACGTTGGTAATGGTTGAGGAATGTCTACTTAGAGTGTTGTAATTGGATACATATTCAGTGGTGATCATAAATCAGTATTTTCATGTGTCTTTACCAAGGATTTGTCATTTTTTTCTCTTAAGAGCTCATGCTCAAACATATGTGTACAGTACACATTGAGATGGGTTAATCATTGCTCAAAGAATAGGCTTCTCAGTGCATCAGTATTTCATTTATTATTCATTTATTTTCTAATGCATCTCCCGTGGATGTTAACCGCCTAACTCAGAAAAATGTGGGTCACTAGAAATTGGGCTAAAGCACTCCTGACCTGATATAGTTTGTATGAATTCCTCAACCAGGCATTGAATGAACATTAGTGAAGGGATAAGAATCATTGAGTTATCAGCCCTCAAACTCTTTTTGATTCTACAGGAAACTCTGTCTTTAATCAGTGTTCATAGCTCACCAAGAAAGAAGCCGTTTGTCAAATGTAACAAATTAATAGTTTTTCTTGGAAACAAGCTGGTTTTGACAGCTTTGGTGATTAAATTGATGCATGACTTGTGCGACAAAATACACACTTCTGAGGAAGCATTTTTAAAATGCCAGTACATGATTTGTGCATAGTACCACAAACATCCACGATTCATATTTAGATTAGATTTGAATTAGTAAAAGACTTGGATACATAATTATATAATAATGTACAGTCATTTGTGAGCTACAATAAAACTGATCGTTATGTTTTAGACATCATATTCTTTAAAATGAAATACAGCACATTTAAAAGAAAAATGTGCTGATTCCTGTACACACACTGTCAAATATTTAAGAATATTCACCATCCCATCTGCATCCATGAACATGTGCACTTTGATCCAAAGGATTTGTATAAATTTGATGTAGTCTACCCTTTCATCCATAGTATTCTAAAATGTTACAAAGCTGTACAACTCCAGGCTTCTATAAATGGTGTTAATTAAAATGCAAATGTAGTGCAAATTAGAAGCCATACTGACATAGCAGTCTGTTTGATTTTTAGATCCTTATCTTTTAATTTAGAAGAAGACTAAGACTAAATTCATCATTCAAGTATTCTCACAACTACTCATGAATTATGAAAACAATTAGAAGATGAAGTGAAAGTAACTGTAAATTGCATACATAAACTGTATATGAACGATGTGCACACCCACCCTGATGTCACTCATTGTTTAGAAACTCCCAGCGAGGTCAGTGTTTTTACTGTTGGTGTCGTGGTGGTTTAAACCTGACACTGTGCTCCATGGATCGCCTACAGCTACAGGTAATGGTCTGCACCAGATCGTCCAAAAATGGTCATGTCACACGCTTGCTGATCAATGCATTTCATGCCTAGAAGAGGCAAACCATGGCAACTACACAATGGAACAGCAGGTCTTTTGCTGTGATACTGGGTTGGCTGATTTTACTGCACTGGCTCCCTATCAGACTTCGAATGTTCACATTAGGTCTCTGCACAGTTAAGCATTATATTAACAAACATTTGCAGCCATATGTCACCAGCAGGCCTTTCAGGTCTTCTGATCAGGGATCGTTATCCATCCCCAAATTTAGACAAAAAACTGAAGGTGACATTTGCAATCACTCTAGAATTCACTTCTCTCCCGTCTATGATCTGTGATCTCAATGGACTCATTCAAAAAGCAGCTTAAGACTCATCTTTTTAAACTGGTATTAGGGTAACATTTCATTCTATTTTATTGGTTATTCTTTTTTATTGGTTTCCTTGTTGGCTTTAAATTGATCTGAAACACCTTATATATATTATCCCACTAATGGATTCCAACTGCACATGACACATGGTAGTCCTTGCTCTGCTCTTTGGGCTCAGTGAGCTTGGAGCAACCTAGAGCAGGTAGAGGATTTCTGAGTGGCTCTCAGCAAATCTCCTGAGCAGAACAAGGATTATCACTGCCAGCTACAGTCCAAGACAGACAAGGGAATCTGAGGCTGAATGTTATGACAGCGACCTTGCCAGTAAGCCAGCTGGTAGAAAAACAACAGGCTCAGGAATGGACCACGGGTAGCTGTGAACAGAGACTGAAACCTCAAAATGTGAATTAGGAGTTTGTGCATCAGTATATCAACTACAAGTGTCATTGTTGTTTTGCATGAATGAAAAATAAAAACTGAAACAAAAGTTAGTGCTTATGTTTAAGAAACACTGAGGTGGTAAATGTCAAGCTCCTAGATATATTTTTATGTATTTATGGGATATTTAGCTATTGAGATTTCTGTTGAGTTGATAAAAAATGAGTTGATAACTTATTTATATCTACAAATCTAAAACACTTGGACATCTGGATTTACGTGTGATATCAGGGTTGATCAGTATACTATACTGCCTCACAAGGTTTCAAGGTTAGTACATCAGATGAGAGAATGTTTGGTCAGGGCTTCTCCCCAAAGTTTGTGCACTCTCTCAAGATGCTGTGTCCTGCCAGTTCACGTTTTTTGTATAATTTTGTTTTCTGCAAGTGGATCTATAAGCCAGTGCACTTAGGTGTCATTGATGGTTTTCGGTTTGCAAGATTCAACCCCAGCGTTCACTGTTTGCCAGCGTCAGCAGAGTGGATTCACGCAGTTTAGAAAGCACTTTTTCTTCCTCATTTCCATCATCTTCCTCTTTCTCCTCTTGCTTCGCCCTTCCTCTTCCAGTACTCAGCAGGTTCTCCACCCGAGGCAGTCAGTCACCCCTCATGCATGTGCACATGTGCAATCTGTATGTGCATCGTATATGTAAGCTGCCTTTGATCTGATGTAGAATTATTGAGGATAACTGTAAATTAATAATGGTGCACAGTGGGAGTTGCAAAGTAGCTCATAATAATAAAACAGCCACAAAGTAATAATGTTCTTATTACTGTGTACAAAAAATATACATGGGAAACGTTCCCATATACTCATACAGCTAATTCTGTGCATATCTCTCTCTGTGTGTGTGTGTGTGTGTGTGTGTGTGTGTGTGTGTGTGTGTGTGTGTGTTTAAGGGCATTGTGTAGTTTTCAGCAAATGTATATCCCTTGAGGGCCATGTCTCGCCATTTTCAAGTGAATTGTTCACACAGGTTACAGAGGGTCAATCTGATGAGATGAAGACGTCATGTTCATGGTCATC